CATGTTTCTGGGAGGAAGCCGGAGAACCCGGAGAGAACCCACGCTGCACGGGGAGAACATGGAGACTTCATGCAGAAAGATCCCGGGTGTCCTCTCCAAACCGGCGACCTTCTAGCTGCGAGCCACCTTGCAGCCCATTAGCAGAAACAGCTTTAGTAAAATAAATACACCTGTGTGGATGGAGGAAGCTGCTCTTTCTGAATGGCTCACCTGGAAGCAGCAGTCAGTGAGAGGGCAGGACTACACACAGTCTGAGCTGGTCGACTATTGGTTTATCATTTGGTACACAGCAGCGATCAACTCAACAACAGTGCAACCAGTCAGTGTTTCCAGTAATAAAATATCTCCTTCAGTTAGGGGTTTGAGTTCAGGTTAGGCTACTGCAGTTTCATAAAAGTGTCACATGTGCACAGAAGACCCATTGACAGCTACTGTCACTATTTAGTTATTTTCTTTTTCGCACAGTCCAAAAGCTACAAGAGTGAAGCATTTATTTGCCAACCTGACCACATGTCAACACAAGCAGCACACATGCTAACAAACATTCACATGTGATGTCTGACCACACAGGACTCGTGGTTTTGGATATCATTTCTTCTAGTCACGTGTTTACGAGCACAGACCGTTGCTAAATTAGCTCATTAGCTGCTGACACAACAACTGGGTGCAACAACACACACACACACACACACACACACACACTGTCATTCTCACCGTTTCCGCCTCAACGGAACCTCGGGCCGGAAAGAGCTCACGTCCGACAAACGTCCCCCACGTCTGTCTTCTGAATAATTACTGCACTTTTGATTCACGACACGATGTTTGACCCTCCGAACCTGCAGTGCATTTAGCATCCACGATCCAGTGCGGTCCATTGCGCACAAAGAGTCGCATGTGATATACGTCACCGCGGCTTCGACCAATCAGATTTTCACTGTGTTAATTGGGGAGGAAAAATGTTTTTTTTTTTCTCTTTTCTTGTGTCAAAACATTTTTTTTTTCTGTCACGGTAGCGTCCAGTATGGTTTTGACAAGACATAAAAATACTTGTTTGAACGTGAAGAGTGTGTAGTATCTTCCATGTTGTTTCAAACCCTGAACCAGGTTTGGGTCCATATGGTGTTTTATATATACTCGAGAACACAGTAGCGTAGGCAAACGTTTCTGGAACAATAAAGGAAAAGTCTCCAGAATGTATAAGTGCACACAAATTTGGATTTAATTGCTTTTTGTGACTGGATCCTGAAGAAACGCGCTCTCATCTTGCCTGTACTACTAGTATATGTACACCAAAATGACTATAAACTTGCTTTGATAACCAAAATAAGCTGTAAATGCCGTGGCTGAGCATTTCCACCTTGACACTGCAGTGTACAGGTGACAGTGTCAAAAACAGGGATTCAAAATTTTAACAAACCTGAGGAACCAATCGTGTAAACTTGCAGGTTGAGCCTTTTTGTATCATTTCTCTTCTCCAGAATCAGTTTCACATTCAAAGTTCAGTCTTTTTACATTGTTTGGCTGTCTTTGTTTGTTTTTTATACGGTTAGATCTAAAAACAAAACTGCTCTCCCAAGTAATTTGTCACTTTGGTGAAACAGACGTCAGACGGTGCAGTAAGGGGTGCGTGGGGCAGCAGTTTCTCTGGCGGTGGAATTCTTGAGAGATGGTCAACTTACATGTAAAACAAGTCAGATTTTTATTTTATTTTTTTATGTAACATCAAAGAAAATTGTAAGCTTTAAGCCTGACAGCCTTTGCCTGTTTGTTTGGCTTATTTTGGGCTGCTATCTAATCTTAAAGCCATAATCTGCAAGGACCAAAGATGGTGTAGATATCTCTGTGTGTTCCTAAAGTACAAACACTATCATACAGGTGTAGAACTTGTTTTACTTATGTTTCTTATTATTGTTTGTCACTATCACATTGCTGGCTCCTAGAAGTATTTTTACGTGTGCACTTCAGGTTTCTTAACACATCAGCTCTCTGTAGACCAGGGATCTCCAACTCCGGTCCTCCTGAGCTACTCGGACGTGTCCGTACTGCAACACACCTGACTCACACTCATGGATCTCCAGTAGCTTGCTGTCAAGTTCTACACAAGTCTGTTTATCCATCCATTATCTATACACCGCTTAATCCTCACTAGGGTCGCGGGGGGGCTGGAGCCTATCCCAGCTGACTTAGGGCGAAGGCAGGGGACACCCTGGACAGGTCGCCAGTCTATCACAGGGCTACACNATGCTAACCACCGAGCCACCTTGCAGCCCAGAAATAAAACAAATAAGCCTAAAAAACAAAGTTCCAGAGGTTTACCTGTCGCTGAAGTGACTGTTGAACTTCCTCTTCAGATGCTTCAACATGTCGCTCTTCTGCAGCGGGATGAAGCTTCCGTACGTCCTGTAGAAGTCGTCGAGGAACTCTGGAGAAATGCAGAAACTCGGTCACCTCAAACAGAAGCGAAACAGGAACGTAACAATGAAGCTGAACGTACCGTGGATGTCGTTGGTCAGCGCTTTGAGGCTGATGTCGGTCTGAGGAGATGCTGCAAGTCTACAGCTCGTTCTCTCGTCAGCATCTCTGGCTGCAGTCTGGTTCTGACCCGCAGCGACGGTGATGTGGTGTTCTGACGGCGTTCGTGCGGCCATTGTTCTCAGTACCTTTAACTGTGCAATGTCCTCACACCCGTCTGCACTCAGTGGGGGTTCGGCAGTCTGTTGTAAGGAGTCTGTACTCTGAGACGGTGACGTTTGATTGATGGTTCCTGCAGCAACATTTGTGTCCGAAGCCTGGTTCTGTAAGAGCCTGGTACCAATGAGTGTTCCTGACAAACCATCGGACTCACTCAGTTTTAGGAGGCAGTGCTGCATTCTAAAGCTGTCCTCTGCAGCTCTCGTATCACATCCAAGAGCCGATGTTCTAACGTCTCCGTTTAGCGCCTGATACGTCGGACCTTTCCTTTTACTCCTCTGTGTCTCCGTCTTCAGACTAAGGCAGGGGCTGGAGTGGATCCGTTTTTTACCTCGGAATATCCCAAAACGGCACTTTTCTCTCCGCTTCCTCCACATCCAAAGCTGCAGTTTACAATACAAGCGTCTCTTGGCTCGTCTGGACAGATGAGACACTCCCTTGATGGAGGAGGTGAATCCCTTCCTCCTCTTCAGGCATTTCGCGTTGCTCTGGTGGCTCTGCGTTCGGTGCATCTGGTCGAATTCGGTGATTGGTGGAGACTCACATGTGAGCGCGCAGCCGTGAGAAACCTTTCGTCTGCTCGAGGGGCAGGTATAAATCCGACAGTTCATATGCAACAGTGCTGCAACGCTATTTTAATGTTTAGTCTTTGCAACAGGGAGATGCTCGGCTTCCACGCCATGGCCATACATTTAGCTGCCAGTTGATACTTCGAGTCAGCTTCTGCCAGTGTAGATTCCAAGTGAAATGGTCAATAATGGCATTCGATGGATATCTGAAGGTGTTCACAGCTTACTTAGCGGTCCTTGTTTGTGAGTTGGCTTCCTGTAGCTTCACCTGAACGGTCTGGACAGCAACTGCAACACAAAATCATTTTTTAATTAAAAACAAGTCCCATATTGTGCCTCGTTTCAGCAAAATAATGAAAGTCTTACATAAGCCCAGAATGTGTCTTTCAATCTTCAAGCTCAAAATACCACAAAGATGATTTAAGTCCTGCTCTTAGCTCTTTATTGCAGCTTTTAATGCAGCTCCTTTCAGGAAAAAGACTCTCTGAGCTGACACAGACGTGAGTGTGTGTGTGCAAGACCAGGACTTTTTATTGCTTCTGACTTTCTTTCATTTTACATGGAAGTGTCGACAAATTCACAGCCACTGGTTGTAACTCATACGTATATCAAGTTCAGACAATGATGTGGTTATAAAATTAGTATTTCAGCAGCGCAGATCCACCTGGAAATGGCTCTGAAGTAATTGCTATTCGGTCACTATTTCATACTTGCTCTGCTGTCTGTCAACAGAAAAACACATCAGTGGTTAAGAATCCAGCTGTATTAAATGGCAGAACTGGGAAGCACAGAAAGAACGATGGAAGCAAACTGATGTGGCGACCCACCCAGTCTTTGCTTATTGGTTTTAAATCACTCCTAAACTTCCCACCATCTCTGCCTGTCCCTCTGTGTCTCCACAGACCTCCAACCTGTGGACATCTAATCAAGATTTCTCTATTTTCATGGTCATTGCCATCCACAGGGTCCTCAGTTCCTTAAAAGCTGGGAGTGCACGAAGGCGCTTGTGTTCACTCTTGCAGCAAACAGGAGAGATGTTTAAAGTTAGAAGCATCCATCCATCCATTATCTACACACTTTAATCCTCACTAGGGT